ACACACTATCTCTTAAACAGCTGTGAATCCTCGGCCAAGTCATAGCACACTCTGATCATATTTTCCCCTCGGTCGCAGTTCCAGGTTCACACCTGCCTAAGCAATCTGCAAAGGCTAGAAACAGATGGTCCAACATGAGGTATGCTCCTTGTTCAGACCTTGTAGCTCATCTCCAACGACAAAACAAATTTTACAAACATTTTCATGTACTTGCAACTGAAATGTGTATCTGCGCCTTCTTGAACGACCAGCCTACAAACTGTTTATTTATAGGTATCTCTACAAATGTGAACAAGTTTTAAGCAGTGACAATCATGAAAATAATGAGCGATGCGTAACTTACATTTACATTTAGTCATTTAGAAGACGCTTTTATCCAAAGCGACTTATAAATGAGGACAAAGGAAGCAATCAAAATCAGCAAAAGAACAATGATACACAAGTAATATAACAAGTCTTAGTTAGCTTAACGTATTGCACGTAGCAAGATTTTTTTAAAATCATATAATATAATAATAAAAAGGAAAACAGATAGAATTCAAAAAGAATAGAGAAGCCAGTTTTCGGGGGTTTTTTTTAAACTGAAAACAAGCAGTTAGTAAATGAATAGAGTCTTTTCTAAAAGTCTAAAAGGGCCAGCCTACAAACTGTTTATTTATAGGTATCTCTACAAATGTGAACAAGTTTTAAGCAGTGACAATCATGAAAATAATGAGCGATGCGTAACTTACATTTACATTTAGTCATTTAGAAGACGCTTTTATCCAAAGCGACTTATAAATGAGGACAAAGGAAGCAATCAAAATCAGCAAAAGAACAATGATACACAAGTAATATAACAAGTCTTAGTTAGCTTAACGTATTGCACGTAGCAAGATTTTTTTTAAATCATATAATATAATAATAAAAAGGAAAACAGATAGAATTCAAAAAGAATAGAGAAGCCAGTTTTCGGGTTTTTTTTTTAAACTGAAAACAAGCAGTTAGTAAATGAATAGAGTCTTTTCTAAAAGTCTAAAAGGGGCAAGTTTTTTTTTTAAAGAATAGAATTAGAATAGAGAGTGCTAGAGTTAGGGGGTCAAATAAAGATGGAAGAGGGACCTCATTTTTTAAATTGTTCAGTAAACAAGAAGTTATATTTACATAACTTTTTAGACATTTTATTTTACTATTTTTTTCATTGTATTTTAGACACACTATTGCCAATTACTTTCAATTAAAATTGTTCCAAACAAAGCCAAATGAGATACTGTTGCAAATTATTCATTGACTCACTCAGTAATTCAAAACAGTACTTTACAGTAATTAACAGTACTCAAAACAGTAATTTATCACCACCTACTAGTGTAGCAATGTAACCTGCAGAAAGAGACACTAAAAGGTGTCCCTCAAGGATGTCATGAACAAATGAATGGAGAAAAAAACTCTCCTATTTGTTATTCTGTGACAAAAAGACATTTAATTTCAACAACAAGATGATCACACTTACTAAAAATGTTTCGATCAGAGTTATTCAGCTTGATTTTTCCATCCACTCAATGTCTAACACATGTCCTCGAAGGAACACTAATTTGCATTCCTTATGACATGCTGGACTTCTGGCCAGAGATCCCTAAATCCATGCCACATATCACAGGGCTGGCTAAGCCTGGATACTTCCTTGGCCAAGAGTGAAAGATATGTTTCCCACTTCACAAACAGTCCTTGCAAAGAACTTTTGCAAAAGAACATGAACGTGCATAAAAAAATGTTAAAACTTATCTGATAAGACTGAATGACTTTACACTATAGTTCTAGTTGTCACAAGGCATGCATCCCAGTTGAATATAAGGTGGAAATAAACGTCCATTTACAAAAATGTGTTTCTCTAGTGGTGGTTTTGTGGGTTTCAAAACCTACTTAAAAACCTAAATTAGAGTTATTTTGTAAATTCAGTCCTCTAAACTTAACTTACAATATCATAATATTTTGCTATAGCTGTTGGGTTAGCAAGTGAAATTAGAACACCATAAAACCACACAGACTTAAATTCAGACCAGAGTCAAATATATGCTAAAGATTTTAACTGAAAAGTTGAGCTGTGTTCTCAGGACAAGGGTATTTTTCTTAAATGTCAAGTCAGGGTAAATTTTCACACATTTCTTAAGCAAAGTTGTGAATTGTTTGATACATTTATTCAGTTTATTAGATCCTATACTATTAACATTTAACAAAGGTTTCATATGGTTGTTGTTCACTTTTTACATTTTGCTTTTCATTGTTTCGATGATTGGTTTATTAAACAATTAAAACTTTGCCGAAAAACCTATGATAATTTCCAAATACAGAGTGTGACAACTAACCCTAGTGTACTTTATATCCAATATTATACAGTATGTATATATCAGTGGTGCTCTGAAATGAGGAGGCAATGTCCTCCAATTATTTATTTATAATTTTTTTTTTTTTATCAAATGGAAATTCATGTTCCAGTCACATTTTCCTGGTTAAATAAACATTATTTACACTATCAGGAAAAGAAAAGAAAAACTATTCTATATTATATTTTTTACATTAACAATATAATCAATATTCTATTTGTTAAAGCCAAGTATGAATCTCATCAAGTTAGTGTTTTTAAGCATTTTACATTTATTCCAAAATGATAACTGAAGGCAGTAACAATTGAAACAAATTTATTTTATTCATGAACTTATATTCAGCTTTTTATTTTAGTAGTTAACTTTTAACTATTTTTTAATTTTGTTGCATCAGCCATCCAAGCTCGGTAAATTTTGGTCACAGACACAGAGATTTACTTTAAATTTCACCAAGCTGATTACTCACTAAAAACTCCCTCAGATCATGTTCAGGCCATTTCAAGTCTTATTTTGACATAATAAAGTAGATATATCTAAGTATCTAACTCACCGCACACTTTGGAGGTCTGTTTAAACTCAATGGGCTCAGGGGAGGCAAGACAGACGCAGGCTCCCACTGTAACTTTACCTGCTAGTGTTGCTGTTGGACAGTATTTCTTTCGGAAAATGAGTAATTTATAATATTAGTGTTATATTTTAAAATATTTACATTCTTTTATTTTCGTACTACACATTTTTGTCATCCAAAATTTTGAGGGGACACTGCTTCCATTGCCTCCTTGGAGGAAATGCCATTGTGTGTGTGTGTGTGTGTGTGTATATATATATATATATATATATATATACACACACACTCCTAAGTGGGTGAATTTGCTAAGGTAGCAATATCCTCTTGGAATTATCACAGCAGTGATCAGAATTCCTTCCCTGGGCTGTTTAATATGAATGTATTTCTTGTCTGGCTGCCCTGGTGTGTAGGTTGTAACCTTACGTTCTCTTCCAAAACACACACATATACAAACAAACACAACTTCAATGTTATTCAGCATAAGCATCTGCAAATACTCTCTCCATCTAGAGGAAAGGTTAGAACATAAACTAAAAAGCCACAAAAGTCATTTCCGCAGAACACCTACAGGTGTTTTGGGTTATAAGCCTGGAGGTTATAAAACTTCCTAACTTATATTTCTATGATTTACATGGACTCATTTACCCATTTAAACAATCTATCTGCATATAGGCAAACAATCATTTATAATTTGCTTTACACAAACACCAATATACCCACACTTGCATTTTATGTTCAACATAAAAACAAAGCAAAAACCACAAGAAGTTAATTTCACAGTGCTTAAACCTATTAGCAAAGCTTTTGACAGTTGCTTTCATCATAATCAACTCTCTTGATTGAAACATCTGTGTTTACCACTGGGCAGCAAATCTGACATAGTTTCCAACATTACGAGCAACCGTACAGTGGGTGGAAGAATTCAGAGATGAGATGCTAAGCAATTGCTGAAAATGAGCCCATTAACTATGGCAGATTTACCTCTCAGGCTATATATTTTGCAGGCTCATCATAGCCCTCTGACTAACACTGGGGCTAGCAGAGAAGAGGAAGAAATGGGATCAGAATTTCAAAAGATTCCTGTGCTGTACAACATCTCTAACCTGAGGCGAAAATTTAGCATGCTGTTCTTATTAGACAACATTCCTTCAGCTCACATCAAAGACAGACTCAGCAGATATTGTTTCGCAATCGAGCGTGCAGAATTACACAGGATTGCTGCGTACAGCAAAGAGAAATGTGAATGGAATACTTCAAGCTTTAGTAAACCTTGCTTAGTATGTGGCTTACAGTACTGTACTTCCACTGAGTTGTATCTTCATACAGATGTTTATACTACTGCCGTTTTATAGCTCAGGAGAATTAAGTTGCAAGTACAAATTTGGCCCCAATTTGGCCTTTTCTTTCAAAAGGGGAATAAAAACTGTTAATTTAAAAGCAAACAACCACAAATAGCCAAATTCTCTCAAAAGTCACAGCAGGTCACCATGTTTATAAGCAATTCCCACTGGCCTCAACAGCATTCCATATATGATAAAATGTGCCAAATATGTAGAGTAGTTTAATTGTTAAGATATTGACTGGAATGCTCTGTTCAAAAACTCTAACAAGCATTCAGCATCTTTTGGTGATTTATGGGCAAATAAAACCCACTGACGTGCCCTGTAAGTGAAATGAAAGACTCTTGACAAACATTATCTGACTGAGCAGTAAATCAAATCATTTGCCAATTTTCCTGCATAGCATCATTCATGTGGCCTCGACACACACACTACAACAGTGTGAGTATTCTTTGTGGCCAAATTTAAGTAAGCACTAATGACTAAACAGGTCCCAGAAAAAAAGGTACAAAATCTGTCACTGGGGTGGTACTTTCAAAAGACACTAAAATTACACATTTGGTATTAATATGCATCCTTTAAGGGTAATAATGTACCTTCTCAAAGGGTATTGTGCAAGTGACACCTCTTGTATCATTTTTTATGAGAATGTATCATTGGCCTGCTAACATTGTTCCACAAATCATAAGTGGAATGGATTGACCAGGGTTTTTGGAAAACAGCTTTGCTTGCCTCAAAAACTTCCTCGTCCAGGATTCTGGTCCCGAAGACAGTGATGCCATCGGTGTTAATGATTGCATGGTCACTTCTGCTGAGTGGTTTAGAGATCTTCTTCTTACAGTCCACAATCATTGTGACGGTCTTCTTTTCTATGCTAATAGCCACACGGTGCCACCTATCGGTTGGGAGGAAATTTTGTGGGAAAGACAACAAAGAAGAACCATGAAGTTTGTGAGAATGATATATATTTACTTTCCCTTGCATAACCAAAACTCATACAGTGAGAAAAACAACTGCCTTGTATTAGTACAGGATGTTCCTAAATGAAATAATTTAAATGGAACAGACAAACAGCATTCTCTCTCAATCCATGTGCATTTCAAAAGGCGTTTTACTGAGCGCCGCCTCTCATATTGACTCAATTATAAATATTTCACAAGCTGGTTTTTGTTTAACGCCATGTTTTTTCAAATTGAAAAAAAAAAAAGTTTTTCATTACATGAATTGTGAGAATACGCAAATTGTTTTATCACATGTAAACCTCAATGTGGCTAATCAAAAGCACAGAAGCTTACTGCCGTTCTCGTTTCTTATACAGTAAATGTTTGCTTTGCTAAATTAGTTACATATGGCTGTGCATTCATAGTTTTCCTAATTTAATTATATCTATATAGATAAATAAATGAATAAGCAGATGGAAAATACAACCAATAATAAACTAAACTAAACTGGTCACTAGGAAAAATTTATAAGCAAATTGCATAACTTATCCAAACACTTTCAATGGCCAGTTGATGAAAACTGTACTACAGCTTGTTCAAAAAGATGTTAAGGCCCATTAAAATTAGACTACTTCTGAAATTGATGTATTATATTGTACTACTTCAGACGTTCAATCTGTTTAGACCCAAAACCTTCACAAAGATTAAAAAAATATACAAATAAAGAGTCAACTTGCTTTCCATCTGCAAGGTTAATGGCACGGAAAAGGGGGTAATCCTCAGGAGTGGGCTTCCCATGCTGATCCTCATACAGGAAGACCGGCGTGCGGCCCACCTCCACACCCAGCTGCTGGATGCCCTGCTCGTTGTATACCGACAAAAGGAAGGACTGTACTCCCGCCTTTGGTTTGATCGTCATAAGGATGGAGAAATCCTGAGGGAATACTCCTCCTGAAGACACAGGAAAGGCATTGTGGGTTAAACATCAGCTGTTATTGATGATTCATTTGCTTGTCGTCCTTTCCATGATGTTGATGAGCTACAATACTACAGAATATCAGACAATACTGTGATCTGAATGGCCTTGTAATATGCAGTAGCCCTTTTACAACAACTCAGTAGTCCCCACATCGTTTGTAGGGGATGGTTTAATGAAGTATGAAACGGTTTGTCTTTTCTGTTGCCACATTAACTTTACAAGGTGTCAGATGACATAACAGATTTACAATTAAACGGGTTGTATGAGCACTGGAGTGGAACTAAAGCTCAAACTGTCTATCTCTGAAGTGCTGTTCATTTTGCCAACCTTGAAGGAGATTTTTTTTTCTGTCAACATACTATTTTGCTAAAATTTTCAGTCCTAAAATCATAAGGTTTGGAGCCGATTTGATTTTAGCCAAAAATCACAGAAAACGAATTGTTAATTTAATCTCCTGCTATTTTGTGCTTCAGTTACCCTTTGCAGTCTGGCCAATTTGGAAGATAACCAACACACACAGAACAGAAGGTCCAAGTTAATGGGACTAAACTAGTAAATGTAAATGATGTTATTGTTATAGACAGAGCAAATAATTAGAGATTTCAACATCCCATTCGTAAAAACTATACTCAAAACTGTGCTAACCATGGACTTGCAGGAAACATATGACACGCTGGTTTTGTGAATAATTAGCATTACTATGACAAATAACCCTTATTGCAAACAATATGTAATAGTTCATCATCTGTGATGCTACAAACAACATATTAGTTTATGTTACAGGACTAACAGCAGCAACAGTTAACAGCAGTTTGGATCTTTCTAAGTATTTGTTTAGCTAGTCATGGATGAATTAGCACGAAACGCTCTGGTCAAAAGCTACCAACCCAGGCTCATTGGGAAAAGTGCAGGTGGTGACACTTCTGCAAAGTGACTTTGCAGTTTTCAACTGGACAGTTCACGCTTCCAAAGTGAACTGTCCAGTAAGTGGCACTAAATGTGTGTTCGGTTTTATTTGAAACAGATGTGAATGTGAATGTGAATGTGAATTTGGCTACATTTTATTATGTTGGTTGCTGTCACTATTGTGGCAGTTCAGAAATGAAATATCCAGTGAGTGGAGCTAAAAGGTTAAAGCTCTTTGAGCTTTTTAACTGTTTCACAGGACTTGTACCCAAGTGCTCTGCATCACAAGTGCAAAACTGTACCAGGTGAGCTACCGAGCAAGTTTACTACCTCAGAAAAGCCATACATATGGAGCTGATTATATAATGCAAATGTCAAAATGGATCAGTTTACAAATCATGCACTATGGTAACAGTGCTCTAGGGTCATAACAGTATTGTGCAAGTAACTGCACAAAAAAGTAATAAACGTTAGTGCTTTTATTTTCACTTGTGTTTATTTCAGCTGGAACTGCAGTGAATTGTATGTATAGATTAATTTTTGGAGTTTTGCTAAAACGTGGGTAGAGGCACGTTTTTCCAGTGAGCCTATGTAGGTCAAAACAGTAGCCAAAGAGCTTTCTTTCTTTCTTAATTGACTCTTTCTTGAAACAATAAACATGGCTTTAATTCCTTCATCAAGGTCTGGGCATCAGACTTCTAGCACTGTAAACAGTCCAAATGCATTTAACTGAGACGGTCAAGCTACATTATGTACTTCCTGTTGGATGCATTTCAAAGAGAAGAAAGAAACAACTTAAAATGTCACTTTCCAAGAGAAAACCAATTACACAACATTTAGAGGTGATTTACAGCCTTGCCCAAGCAGAACATTTGCTGTATTTAAGAGTAAGTACGGATGAGGGTGCATAGATTAGCTCAATTCACGTACCTGGGAAGAGCTGCTTGGTTGGAGTACTGAGTTGAGCCTGTTTGTCCACTCGGTAGGCCACATCTGGTTTGGATCCTCTCCGGATGGTGCAGAAGCCTTGTGTTTTCTTCACTCCTTCTGGTGAACTTTTAAAATCTAAGACCTTGAGCACATCCACCGGTTCAGCTGTGAGGCAGAACATTGGTTGCTATGATCAAAGCATTTGTCATTTTCATAATTTCATTGGTAAGCAAACATTATTAGCTTCAATAGCTTTGCTACATCAAATCAAAACAATATTTGTTCAGTTATTTCCATTCATACATCTAATTTAACTAAAGACAACAATTCTGTTAGCAAGCAGCTAGATTAGAAATGAGGAAAAGTCTATGAGGGAAAAATTAAGCAGCACCATCCAAATATACCTTTCATTTGTCATATAGACGAGAACAGTGATGAAACTACAGTTGTCGGAAAAAACTTATGAAACGGAAATAAATGTCCAGCCATTTAATCTTCACAATTGCTTCCAAGTACAGTTGGGTTATTATGTAATTTTATTGTACTATCCAAGTTTAAAAACAAGTAGTCAGTATTGTTAACCTTTCTCTTATGCAACAGTGCTTATTTGTCCTTATTCTGCCTTGAATGGTGTGGAGCGAGTATATCTACAGTCAATTATCGTTCAGCAAGTGAGGACATTTATGGGCCACATCTTGCCATTTGTTGATATGGACATGAACAAACAAATTCCCATGAAATATGTATCCCCCTTATTGGTGCCACACTGTGTCATTTCGCAACAACGCTAACTCTGACTGACGGTTTTATTGTACCTAATTCCCCGCCATTGCATGTGTGCTGTGACCGTTCAATTAAGCAATTGTACTTTTACAAGGAACCCGAGCAGCATAGCAGTAAAGATGTGAAGAAATATCCAGTAGGGATAATTGACCCCCCTAGATGCAGATCCATCTACAAAGTCAAACATTCCAGGAGTTAAAGTCACTGGTGCTGGTCACTACCCTTCTACGGTTATGGCAGCTCAGCATGACCAAGACTTTACAAGACGCTCAGCTCCACCAATATGTCAGATACTACACTTCATCATGTTGCTACTACCAATGTCATATATGAAAGGTTCTGGTTTCGCTCAGCCTGCACCCCACGGATGGCTCATTTCTAATGATCCTTAACAAATCTATGCTAATGCTTAAACAGGCTGAGAGATTTATGATATGATTAATATGGCAATTTAGAGGCTGGTACTGTAAAGTGGACTCTGAGCAGCACTGTAATGTCACACTGATTTACTGTTCTGCTCAAGTCTTTTAGGCTTCGCCTTTGATGCCGTGAAAAGGAAAAGTTCCGGCCTCACTTGAGACTGATGAATGAGGATGTACACAAGGTCAGGGAGAAAAGAGTATCAGCTGGGTTACTTACATCCATCACTATCCGTACACAACTTTGTGTCCTTTAGACACATCTGTTTGCCATCACCACTGCGAATGTTGTGGTTAAGGATGCCTTGAGTTGTGTGAAGTCTCTGATTCTCAGAAGGTTTAAGGGAATAGGAACAGAGGCTGAATGGATGACTAGCACATAAATACTCCTATTCTGACTCCCCCGCTACCAGAGACTACAAAAACTTCTGAGTCAGGTCAAATGGACATATTTGTCTGCTGGTCAGGCTGCAGACAGGAAGTATCTCTTTCAAAGGCCTAAAAACAATAAACCATATAAACAGAATGACTAGTTTCTAAGACTCATTACTCTCTCTCTCTCAGGACTCAGTGTTGGATCCAAACCAGGGTTTTATTTTCATATGCTTTGACATCACAAAAAGACTAATTTTCCACCCTGTCCCACTCAACGAAGGCTGGGAAAGCACTTTAGAAGAATTATACTTAAGTCTTTTGATAGATCAGCCCTATAACACTGCACATAAGAAACAATAAAACCAGCAGAACCTTTATAAAATATGAAGGACGATGAGCTGTATTTGTTAAAAATAGACTCTGGGGAAAAGTCACTCAGACGCCTGGTCATCACAATTACACTGAATTATATTGTAAGGTCAAGAGCAGAACAAAAAAAAAATCTGAGAGTTCTTTTGCTATAGTAGTTCATGTAAAAAAAAAATACATTTGACTTTATTATTATTATTTTCTGTAACCATATGGTAAGAGCATGCAGGAAGTGCTGATCCGGTAGTTCCTGTTCCACATATGTGGCCAGGAGCTGAAGGGTGGTGCTTTTTTAGGGTTAGTGCACATGCTGAACACATTATGGTGTCGGCATGGTACAGCCTGCAGATAACTTTGACTCAGTGTACCACCAACCAAGTCCTAATGCACTGAAAGCACAAATTTATTGTTATTCTACTCTGGGACTAAGAAATAGGGACTATGTTTAAGAGAAAATGATGTTGTTCAAAAGCTTGGGGTCAGCTTTACTTAAAGATAATTATTAAAAAATATATATATATTAATACTTTTAATCAGCAAGGATATATTAAAATGATTTAAATTATTACAAAGTATTTATATTTCAAATAAATGCTGTTCTTTCTATTGATTAAAGAATCATGACCATTTTTAAGACATAAGAGAAGTGATAAATGATAATAAAAAGTGATAATATGATAAGAAAATTTTTTTTTTGCATATTAGATTGATTTCTGAAGGATCATGTGACACGGAAGACTGGAGAAATGGCTGCTGAAAATGCTTTGCCATCCCAGGAATAAATTACATTTTATAATATATGTAAAAATACACACACAAAAAAAATGCTATAATACACATATATATATATATATATATATATATATATATATATTTAATTCACAGTTTACTGTAATAAATAAATAACATGAAAAATTCGTACTGACCGCAAACTTTTGAACAATAGTGTAACGTTTTAGAGTAATCTGTATTGCCCAAAACAATTTTCCTTTAAGACGGACAAATAAACATTATACAGTATTATACAGTATACATTTTTGTACAGTATATTTTTAGGATTTTTTAAATGTTACCAAAAATCTGCAGTATTTGCCTAGAACAGCTTCATTTTCTTGATAAAATTAAAACAGCTGCACACAATAAAGCCCAGCGTGTCTACATCTGTGTGCACGTTTGTGAGCTTGATGCGGTGAGGTTCTTAATGTAGCTCTGTCAAATCAGTCTGTTGAGAGTTTCCATTCAGCGTAACCCCCACTGACAAAACAAAGAGCAGCCCTCTGCATTGTCATTCTAAATGAGATGCAAAAACAGAATAAAAGGCACCCAAACTCTTAAAGGAGAGGGCAATAATCTGTAACTCTTACGAGTCTCTTCCAAAATGCAGTGCTACTGTTTTTTTTTCTTTTCTAAACACTAAACTAAAGGTCTCTTTGTGCTCTTCAGAATGCCTCTCAGCATTACTGCATACCTAAAGGCCTCATATATTCCAGATGTGGAGAATTGGCAGGAACAGGACCCCCCTCTCACAGAAGCTCTTAAAAGAATATCAGCATCCAAAACCCATTAAAGCAGCAAATAAGCACATTGCTCCTAATGCACATCCACAGTTAAAAGCACTGGATAAATTTTTTCTTCTTCTTTGTATTTTCCAGATATTCTCTCTGGGAGAGCCAGTGTCATGGATAATGTCATGGTAGATTTTTCACAATAAAATATGGCAAAAGTATTTAGCAGAAAAGAATTTATCATCTGCGTAATTCAGCCTCTAATATGACTTCAAACCTTGAAGAAATCTGGCAGAAATGTCAATGCCGTCAAATACACAAGAGACACAATATCAATTGGTCAGGCAAGAAAAATCATAACATTCAAACTGATCCAACAGTCAATAAAATCCCAGTACAAGACATTAGCCCTATCCGTTCTATGACGTAAAAAAACAACTGCAAAAAATAAAAGGCCCTGTATCCTCATTGGTTGAATCATTGAATATCCGAGCAGGTGTGGCCAATATCTCATGTGGACTTTGTGAACTGCTGTAGCAGATATTTATATAGATTTCAATTCAATCCAAAAACAAGAGCCAAAAGGTAGCTTTCATGCATGGAATTTAGTTGTGGTCAAGATTCGTATTAAACCAAAAATGTGGAAACTCACTTTCAAAATATCCCCACCTCCCAATTGGCCTAGAGAAGTGCAATGTGGTGAAGACATTATCAGGCAGCCATTTTGAAAGAGGTATGTTATATATCTGAAATGGCCATCAGAACAGCAACAAAGGAATATAATCTTTCTCATTTTACAGAGTAATTATTATATTTTGTATTAGCTTAAAGCAGGAGAGACCAGGCTCTTTGAAAGCTTACTAGAAAGACAGTATACAAAAACATATTTGTTTCCTGTTTGTGATCCTCATATAGTATACAGGTGAGTCAGAAAGAAGATGCCCTAATTTAGCCTATTACTTAAAGTAGCCTATGCAGGAAGACTAAATGTATAAATGATGGATAGAGCCACTTTAAAACACTCAAGTGTCCACTTTTAAAGGTAGACAATGTGTCCAAGTCAGAAAGCACTTCTACAGTAGCTTTCTGACAGTTGATGGGTCTTTAGTGTGGACTGGGATAGTGTGGAGAAACGGTATCGCTCTCTGTCTGAGCAATACAATTTCCTAAACTAATTCTGGGCACTCGGGTGCCTCACTGGTGTGTGCAGGGTAGTGCAGGTACTATGAATGCTGTCTCATCAACAGGTCAAATATAACAGACATGAACCTTTCTGCTATTTATTGAACAATTGGAAATAACCAATTGTTTTGTATATGTGAACCTTTGAAGATCAGGGTCACCAGTGATATTGTAACTGGTATTTAAAATGCATTTACACAAATATAATATTTCCATATATTTAATTTAACAACATTAACATACTTATATAGAAGCTACAAGCTTATATAGAAATGCTTAAAATATTTGTCTTGATAGACTCTTCCAATCCAAATTTCAAATGCAGCCTCTTGTAGCTATAAGACATGAATATATCTATAAATAAAATAATCATATATACATTTTAAAAATAAAATGCTGGGTATGTCGTTATTGAAACAATGGCATTATTAACAGCCAGAACATACGCCACTGATATCGCTTAGTCAAAGATTTTTCTCATCAAACAGCATTTTGGGCATTATTATTAAATATAATTTAAAATATTCGTTATCGAGACTGAGGTTTAGAAATGCCTTGTAGTTCGTAACGAGCCTATGATGGTCATAAATGCTGTCTAGGTAGGCAGCTCACTAGGTTTTGAAACAGCCAATAAATTTGCAATATATACATGCTAATTTTATAATATTCTGACAGCGAAATTCACTACACATTTTAAGTAATATATTTAACTATATACAGGTTTATACTGAAGGCTGGCATCACTGGAAGGCTCGTGACGATGCTCCTCAACCTTTTCCTTACCTGCTCTCACATGTGTTGCCTGTAGGACAAAAGTCAGACTGAAGATTGCACTTAAAGCGGAGTTCCTAAACCAGTTTTTCGTTTTCCATCTCGTGGACCACCTTTCCTTATCCTTATCCATGACCGGCGCCCTCAACTGTATCTTATTTTCAAATTCGTTCCTTTTTCCACAATCCAGATTATTTTTATTTATTTCTGCACTGCCATGAGCGAAAAAAATCAATTGGTTCTCGTCGTGAACAAACTCCTCAGTCCCTCCGCCCAGTAGACTCTCAGACTGAAGGTAAACGGGCTCTCCTAAAAAAAAGAAAACCGGTTTGTTCCCTGAAGAACTCAAGTCTTTTGGAGGGTTGGACGTGTGGACTAAACCTGACCCGTGAGGAAAAATAAATGAACACGGGGAAATCACTAGTCTTGGAAAGATCCGCCCATTATTTTTGAGAGCTTCAAAAGTTTGACACCGTTCCCCCGAAAACTCAGAGCAAAGGTGTATCTACTCTGAGGGATCATACAACACCGGGATGATGCTGGGACACCGGTTTACCGGAGGAGAGACTCACATAACCCGGATTATCATCCCGCATCCTAAATGAGTGATATAGGACCGGATAAGGACTAGTTTACTTTCTTTTGTTACTTTACACATTTGTAGACCACCACTTGGAAATGTTTTTTTATCAGGCTATTATTATTATTTATTTATTTTATTTTTTTAGCATATTTTGTTGAATTTCCAGCTGTCTGTAATTTCCACTGCAGACCTGATGAAATGGCATTTTGCTCCACTATTTACATTCTTAAATTACATTTTTTGGAATCTCTGGGTCCATGAAAAACCTTTAACTTCCATATAAACTTTCTATTGCGCAAAAAGTCTTTAAAGTGGAAAAAATGTCTTTAGATTATTAAAAAGTTCTTCACACTCAGAAAAAAAATGGTTCACTGAAAAGTTTTTTGGGAACCTAAAATTGTTCGTCTATGGCATTCGCTCAAAAAAAAAAAAAACTTTTGGAAACACCATTTTGAGTGGAAATGGCTGGAATGACACTTAAATTAAATTGGTGTGATGGCACACACAAGTACTATAGTCAAACCAGGCAGAATTTAGCTCAGAAAAATTTTCTTTTAAAGAGGCAAACCAAATGTTGGCCTGAAGTAGCCCATTTAAAATTCCACAAGAAGCAATGATAGCCAGAAAAGATACCATCCACATGAATGAGAACTACAGATGAGACTTCTTGGCCAAGTCAGAATTCTTTCCAGAAACATTCTTGAAAGAGTCCGCTTATGGGATTGCTGTACCACAGACGTCTGAAAATAATTACTCTTTAAAAGTCATCGGGCAGGTGGCAGCTGTATAATCCAGCAGTCAGTCCACAGTATAATGTTTAGATGCATAATTGACAGCATAACAGCAGTAATTGTCACTTAAATTCAGAACACATTAACCATCATTATGCGTTATCCCGCAATAAATTGGGGCCATGCAGATTCTTTCAGAGAATGCAGAGGGAAACAATAAAAGAACTGAAACAAAGAAACTGTTTCACATGTATCTTCTTTCAAAATGCTGTAAAAATGAGAAGCTATTCAATCACAGATGGGACAGGTTCAGGATTCAAACACTTATTTTACTTTAAGAAAAGATGCTTAGTGGGCAAAATTCCAAATTATTAAAGAAGAAATGTAACATTACATCATTTGCTCAGATCCCCTACAGTGAATGGATGCCGTCAGCGTGAGAGTTTAAACAAACTATCACAATAATCGAGAAGTAATCTACACAACTTCAGTCTATCAATTAATGTCTTGTGAAGCAAAAAGCAATATGTTTGTAATAAATTACAGTTCTAAAGAAATATGTCTGTGGATTTTTATGTGAGAGAACAACATAATTTTTTTTTTAACTGGAGGAAGCGTTGTTATCGATTATGGATTCTACTTTGGCCAGAAGTGACAGTTTAAAGTTAAAATTACTTGATTTTTTTTTCACTTCTTTTCAATTCACAAGACATTAATTAATGGACTGGAGTCTTGTAGATTATTTGTGATTGTTTTTTTTAATCAGCTTTTGGACTCTCAGTCTGATGGCACCCATTAAAGTGCCTCTATTATGGATTTTTGAAAATTACCTTTCATGCAGTGTGTAACACAGCTCTAAGTGAATGAAAACATCCTGCAAAGTTTTAAAGGTCCCATATTGTCAAAACTGAAATTTCCTGGCTTTTTTCATGATAACTGAGGTCTAGGTGCTATGTAACTACCATATAAGTTTCAAAACAGTTAGTCCACAGTAAAATTCACACAGCCTGCTTAAGGTAGCTCTGATTTTTCACGAACCGTTGTGACTTCCGTAAAAAGTTGACGTCAGAACTACACAGTCACCGCCTTCAGTCACCACCCCGAGCACCGCCCACAGTCCCACCCTCCTTTTGCCAAACCCCCAGTGTCACGGCGCGGTACAGAAAACACACCATGAAAACAGGGACCTGGCTCCAAATGCAGGTTTATTTGACTGCAGGGGAAAACAAAGTCAAAACCAAAACAGAAAACAAACAGAGCTAAGACTCTTACACACAGGCTCGAAACAGAAAACGGACTCTGACACAATACGGCTACGTAGAGCTTGCATCAGTCCCGTACTGAGCGGGCACATCCACTCTGAGAACATTGTGAACAGACCCAGCCGCCTCGGGAGGATCATGAGCGGGCCTCGCCACCTCGGAAGGCTTGTGAGCAGGCACCGCCGCCTCGGGAGGATCGTGAGCGGGCACCGCCACCTCGGG